CCGCAGCCCCCGGCAGAGGATGCTGGAAGCCAGCGCTGCCCCGGCTCCGCAGCGGAGGGAACGGGATCCTCCGGGAGCTCCCCGCCGGGACTGAGACACGAGAGGAGCTGGTGTGGAACAGAGACCTCACCCCTTCGCCAGGCAAGACTTCTGCACCGCTCAGTTCCAAAAAAAGTTTATTTTTAATAACGCATTGTCTGAAATTTACAGCACATCAGAGGGGCGGGTGGGTTTGTTTTTTGTTTGTAAGAAATCAAATAGAAACCAGAGAAAGGGGAAAGGGGGAAAAAACGGCGCTACCGCTACAAAAGAAGTTTGCCCAGCGTACAGCTGCCCTTCCCCGTGCCCCGGAGCACATCCCGCAAAGCCCTGGGCGCAGCCGGAGCTCCGGCCCCGGCGGCGACCGTGCAGGCGGCGGAGGCACGGGCTGTACTGGGGAATGAGAACGCACCCCAAACCAGCACTGCTGGGCAGCAGTGTTTAAGGGGGGCACCTTCAACAGGCCGCCGGCTCCAGCTGCGGTGGTGTCAGGGTTTAGTGCTGGTTTTAAGACGGGCAGCGGGAGACGGGAGCTCTGTTGAGTTACGGAGCGGACTGCACGGAGAGCAGCTCAGTTAAATCGGCTCCAACCTCCGCTCGCCATTAGTGTTCGTGGTCCGATAACCCCGGGCCATCTCGCTGAGCTCGCCGATGGGCGCCGGCGGCAGGAGCCGCGGCCGCCGGCCTCGCTGTGCCGAGCTAATGGAGAAGGAGCAAGCCCTTGGCTATTGAGTGGCCATTAGCTTCCATCTCTGCGAACCCCGCAGGGATCTGTAATCCCCCTCCATTAACCACTCCGTTTAAGTAAAGGGAACACTGGAAGTAACTGCACCCGGGAGGTGAGATTTACACGGATGAGCAGGAACTCAGCCCCAGCGTTACTAGAGCCAGTAACTATTTTAATCGTTAGGCTACGCCCCTCGCCGACAAGCTCCTGCTTCCTCTGGATGCGGATTTCTGACCCTGGCTCTCCGAAGGAGCCCACTGCACACACGATTTAAAATACCAGCAGCGCCCAGGGCCGCGGTTCGGGGAGGTGAAGCCTGGCCAGCTCCTGCCGATGGGGAAGGATCCCCAGGAGCCAGCGCACCCGCCAGGCACGGATGCTGCTCACCAACGGCCGCAAAACGCTGCCCATCACCTTCTCTGTCTATGTCTGTGGGTGCTTCTTGGGGCTCTATTCAGTTTTTCTTGGATTTATTTCAATGAGAAATGAAGGTAGGGATGCTTCAGAGCCGCAGCTCGTAATGCTGGATAAGCTCATGAGTTGGCAGGGGGGAATTCCTGAAGGAGAAGTGTTTGCAGGAGCAGGCCTTCCCTCGGGAAGGGCAGCTGGGGTCATGTCTGACGGGCCTGCTCTCCCCGAAGAGCTCCCGCAACCGATTACGCAGGGAGGACTCGGATGGAGAAGCGTATGAGTTAGTGTTCAGCACCTACCGGAGAGCTGGGGCAGGCTGCTGCTCGGAGGAATTTCGGGTTTACGGTCTTGTTACACTTCACTTTGCCTTTAGCGAAAGAAATCCTGTTTAACGGAAAGAGGGAAAGCCAGCGTGGCTCCCGGCCCAGGCTCGCTGCCTCTGGGGAGGGAGCGGGCGGGCAGGGGGATCCCTACAAATTCTACTTGAACAAGAAAACATGACTTTTCCACTAGCAGGTTTGAAGCACGCATCGAAACGGGCCTCTGAAGCAGAGGAGTGCTGGACTCCAGGGCAGACCTAAGGGCCGCAAGTCCTAGGAAGCAAAAACTGCCCAAAAAGAAGGTGATAGATGATACAAAGGAAGAGTTTAAAAAAAAGAAAAAAAAAAAAAAAG